ATAAATAATAAAAAAGAGTGTTCAAAATGGTTTATTTTGTACATATTTTAATATTTTTCATTCAAAATATTTTATAAACATAAAAATTGGCTTTTTTTTTCTAATCAGAAAAAGTCATGGGGAAAGCAGTTAAACAAGAAAAACTTTTCTAAATCATTTATTTTATCGTTAGGTATTATTATAATAATAGACAGATGTCATCGTCTCTCGAAATACAATATCTTTCTTATTTCGCTGTTGACAGTCCGACACGTGCTCCGCAGCCATCTTGTATGTTCTCGCACGCGTGGTATTGTGGGATCTCTCTTACGACTGGATCTACATTCGAGAACTCTCTCGAGTCGATCGCGATTGAACCTCGTTTTAGTCGAGATTGAAATGGTTGATGGAGGTTGCACTAGGCGAACAGGGTTTTTTTTAAAACTCTTTCCACCCTGTGGGCACTAAGAGGGCTCTTTTTGCAAGCCATTATGGGTTCGGCCATTATGGGCTGCCGGGTGGTGAGGGACGGGGCCCGACTTATCCGAACGGATCAACCCCGAAAAATTCCTGAGGAATTTTCGACCCGTTCGGATTCGAGCCCGGGTCCCCCAGAGCGGTAAGCTGCCACCTTGACCGCTCGGCCATCCGGCCGCAGGCGAACAGGGTATAAGGCTCTAGTTTAGTAGTGTTACAGAGTATAATACGTATATTTTAACATATTTTTTAAAAGAAACAAAATCACTGAGAAATGTTACGTGTGTTTAACAACGGGTTCGGAAAACTTTGAAAATGTTAACAACGGGTTCGGCCGAACCTGTGCGAACCCGCTGAATATCACCACTGGTGGTACCGGTAAGCCCTTCGACCGCCTCATTGAAGACATCAGAGAAGTCTTGGATGAGCTTCTGTACCCCTACAACCTGATCCGGAGGGAGGTGAGTCAAGTCAATTTGCTCGGTGAGGTTAGGTGGCTTAGGTGCTTCATGAAGCGACGCAAGTGCAAAGGCCAGTTTTTTCTCAGTCGGAGGCTCCCTCTAGTCATGAGACATGCAATCTTATTTAACATCTCAGGGTAAGCACGCAGGAAATCCATACCCAGGATGCCCTGATTACCCACCAAGATTACAGAATCCACCACGATAAATTTCACGGGAAACGCCTTATCATTTAACCTCACTTTAGTTAATAATTCTATATTGCTTTTCATGACTCCGCCTGACACTCCTTTCACCCGCACATTTACAGTGCTGGTATTAAGGGAGCTACCCTTTAGGTGATCTAGTTCACAACGATTTATAAGCGATTTTTCCGCACCGGTGTCTAATAATAAGTTCAGCGCACGGCCGTTGATCTCCCCGGAAATGTATGGGAGGTTGTGGTTGTTAATGCCCGGTTCACTAGCCAGTTGAATATCCACTTCGGAACCACCATACTGGCCGCTATGGTAGTCCCGTTCTAGTTTAAATTTTTCGGGCAGTTGGCACATAGGTGGTCTCTACTTCCGCAGGCGAAACATCTCCTACCTCGACTGGGTGTGACATTGGCCCTCGTTGAGTTACATTCACCCGGCCCACTAATTGATCCCAAAACGACCTGAGACAGCTGTGATACAGTCTCCTCCAACTTAGCTAAACGAGCCACGATTTCTGCTCCAGCTATGTTACTCTTATCAGGGGGAGTTGAATCATTATGTGGTGGTACCACAACGCCGCCTACCTGAACTTCTTTAAGCCCACAGGCTTGCTCAATTTTCGCCAATTTCTCAGCTAACTCGACCGCCTCGTCAAATGATTTTGGTTCGCGCTCTAACAGTTTCATTCTTAAGTCCGGGTTTATCCTTTGAGTGAATTGGTTGCTTAACATCTCATTTCTTAACGCGGCCATGTGTGGGTTTGCGCAGACCATTCTTTCAAACGATATACACAATCTAACCTTGAACTCACCTACTGACTCATTTTGTTTCTGTCTTATGTTGATGAAGTCTTTCAATGTACCTCCATCAATCGCTTTCTGTCTGTGGAAGCTACCTAGTAGAGATGTCTTAATTCTGTCGTAGTCATTCTGGTACACTTCCCGTAAGTCTAACAGCAGGTTGAAAGGTTCTCCTTTCAAGCGTGATTGGACTACGGCTAATCGGGTCCCGCTCGTCCACCCTGCGATCGTTGACACTTCTTCTAGAATATCGAAAAACTGCTTGATGGATACATTATCTGATGAAGTACCTGAAAACGTCGGAATCATTCCTAGGTATCCCGTAACGACTGGGGTCACTGCTGCTAAGTTGTGGTTTCCTGGAATGTTCATTGTGGACTCCGGTTGCATGCCGTCACTCGAACACACTGTTGTCTTTGTCTCCATTATAGACCACGTGGTAATCCTGTCGCGGACGCCAGATGTGGAAAATCGTAAGACTTAGAGGTCTCACTAATTGTAAGTGTAGGTGAATTACCACGTGGGAAAGGATGCCAAGAAACAATTTTTTGTTCTTTTATAAGTTTATATATATATATTCGTACAATTACACTAAGGTCCACTGGATACAATGGTACACACGTAAAATGTTTTCACCGTTACAATATCGTAGTCCTAGATGTTTTACGCCTTGCAATCCAATCCGCTTCGGGAACAAACAAAGAAAAGAACAATCCACAATAGAAGGAGCACTTTTGCATTCACCAACTCCTCTATATCACTCGGCACGAGAGTGTCCCCTAACCGGTCAATGTCCGTCTTAAATACCTTCCCCCCTTCACCAGGTTGCCAACCCCTTTTCCCCACGGCTGAAAAGTAGCCAAAAAAGCAAAAAAAAAAAAAAACTATACGACACGTATAAGGCAGAGGGCACACCTGCAACCACACAGTACCCGTTCGAAGACGCCATTGCTTAAGCTTGTTTTCGTCGCGGTATTCCGACAATTTTTTGTTCATAGCATATTTTATATCGATCATTTCAACAAATTATACGTGTTTTGGAAATATTCGAGTGAAATTAGTCTAGATTTAGTTAATTTTATGGATGTACACCTCTCAAATAGCCGTACCCGTTAATCTGTACAAGTGCCGATTTTTCTGACGTTTGTTGGTTTCTCAATCCGAGAGATTTCCATATGAAGTTTCTCAGTCTATCTACTCACTTTGTCAGTTTAATTTTTAACATATTACGGTGGAAATGACCTTTCTTTAGTTGTAAATTCTCTTCTGTTCTACATCCTGCCTATATATTTTTCTCGTTTTCTAGATAGAAACATTTTAAAATGAATAACGCAAGAAAGAGTTGCCCAAGAGGTTCCTGCTTCATCCATTCACCTGGCGAAGCTATGTCACAAATTTTTCAACCCACTCAAGCCATAAATATAAATAACCAATACCAAATCTCTAGTGGGACTAATCGATTCCCATTCTCTGATCTCACTAATCAATACCGAATCTCTAATGCGACTATGCAAAATGAGAATTCAACACAAGTGCAGGTGAAGTCGAAGAAAAACCGATTCCAGTGCTCGGAATGCCCCAAAACTTTCGCCTTCAAATCAGCTTTGAAGAATCATAATCTGACACACACTAAAGAAAAACCACACAAATGTGAACAGTGGAACAAGGCTTTCCAGTACAAGTGGCAAGTGGCCAATTATTTCCGGCAACACACTGAAGCAGTGCATCTTTGCAACACTTGTTTCCGAGCATTCACTACTCTTGAGGAGTTAGTCAAACACGGCCAAAATCATATACCACTAAGAAATGCGCCTTACGTTTGCACAGAATGCGGAACAAATTTTACAGACGAATATGCGTTTCAAACCCACAAATATATTCATGCCCTCTCAGATGTACGTTTCACTGAAGACGAAGTTCTTCTTTATGAAGAAAACAACAAAGCATACAAAGACCTCATGGATCATTTGAGTACACATCTCTCTCCTTAGGCAGAGATCGTTTTTGTTTTTAAAAAATTTGCTTGGTTTTTGATCTTTTATTCATACAATATGATATTTTTAATGTTATTCCTTTTTATAATCATCTATATTTTTAACTGAACTTTGTTAATTTTTATAAATTTTTATTAAGCGAAAAATCAAATATATTTCGTGAACTTTTATAAACGTTTTAATACTGTTTATTTGCACATAATTTTCTGCAACGTTTCCACACCAACAAAGAGACGTTCGTTTGAAGAGAATTGGCTTTTTCTTCTAGCGTTGTAACTGTGTATTTTAGTTCATAATTTCCATAAGCAACTATATAAATCCAGCGTGTATTGTGAAGATAAAGCATGATTTTTATCACTTTCCATTTGTTATATATGTAAATGATTCCGCTAAGACGATACCCCGAAAGTAATCAAGAAATATTACGCTGCAAGTGATACCAATTTCTGTATGAAGGCGAATTTATGAGTGAAAAGGCATATGTAAAGAAACTAAATCATTCTACTGAGCAGCAGAACACTGAAGCATTGTTGTAGACGACTTTCCAGCTACGTTGTAGGTACTACGCCATTTTTTTTGTGCGCTTGATTTTATAACAGATAAATTTGGGAGCTGCAGTTTCGCTCGTCAAGTCTCTATCACATCAGGAGACTCGGAAGTAGTCTCCATACGAAGAAATGAAGACCCCAGTTGTTGTGAGGTACTGTATTTTGTCTTGGAGATAATGTACTGTAAATATTCTTTTTCTTAGCTTAATAATCGGCATGCATGTTGAAAATCTTCATGTTTTCATTAATCTTATTGTCTTCCAATTTAATAATTTTATTTTCTTTTTACAGAAATGCGAAAAAAACTAATGTAAGAAAATTTTCGTTTGTTTTAGAGGATATTTTACTTTTGAGACTTTAAAGAATGTAATAGAGTTAGTATTACCTGGTGTATTCTTATACTGTATATACGCTGTCAAAATACCCCTATGTAGTTATATTAATGTTTTTTCTTTAGATTCAGAAGTTCGTTAATACAGGATCTATTGAGCACTTATGCCGAATTTTCAGACATTATGCAATATCTTCTGTCATATCGGTCTTTCGGGTTGGCACGAAATGATTGACCGCTTTTATAACGAAAACATCCTTTTCTGTAAACATATATTTTAACGTGACTCCTGCATTAATCCAATTTTAACACCATCCTTCACTCTACTTTACCAGTATTTGCAAGAAAGAAGTAGACGTTCTACAGTAAGTAGTTCGGAATTATTTCTAATTTATACTATTTGTTTTTAACGCTGTAAGAATGCGTCATTTTACGAAATAAAATACAGTCGACCCCCCCTATAACACTGTTGATAATTCCGTTTTATATGAATTCCATGTTGTACGAGTCACTTAGATTTTACAAATACGTGTGCTGGGCTGTGAACNAGAGAATAGGGAAATCCTTTGAAAAACTACTCTAAACTAACAGTGCATTCAAAAATATATTGACGCAAAGGATGGTTACGTTCAGACTTTCTCTGAAGACACCACTCTATGCTGTCGCGGTTCATTATTGAATTCAATAAATGTAAGTGGCTTTGGATGCATAGCTACTACATTAACACTTGACATGTCATTGTGAGATAGATACAACACTATGTATAGTACAGTTATGGTAATTTATTAACATTAATAATTTTCATATAGACTTTTCCATATACTTCCCACTTACATTTACCTGAAGTATTTACCTTTTTTCCTAATACATTTTTTATATCAACTACTTGAATTATAGCTAAAGTTAAGGCTGACATCCAATACAAAATGGTACATGAGCCAGGAGTTAATATGTATATTATATGTCAACGTGTCATAACAATTGATAGTAGTAGTACAGTGGTTCTCAAAGCGGGTGCCGCAAGAACTCCACAAGGGTGCCGCGAAATTTTTAAATAATTAAATTAAAATTACTTAAAATAATTGAATTAAAGTATTTACCTTTTTTCCTAATACATTTTTTATATCAACTACTTGAATTATAGCTAAAGTTAAGGCTGACATCCAATACAAAATGGTATATGAGCCAGGAGTTGATATGTATATTATATGTCAACGTGTCATAACAATTGATAGTAGTAGTACAGTGGTTCTCAAAGCGGTTGCCGCAAGAACTCCACAAGGGTGCCGCGAAATTTTTAAATAATTAAATTAAAATTACTTAAAATAATTGAATTAAAGTATTAAATTAAATAAATAATTAAAACAATTATAAAAAAATAAATATTGGTTTTTTTTTTACTAATCTTGTTACGTCGCCATTTGTCTCAGTGACTCGGTAATTGGCGACACGTAAATACTAGAAACAAAACGAACTATAATAATAATATATATCTAATAATAATTTTTGACAAACTATATTTAAATGATGGAAATAATTTAAACAGCTATGTAAAAATGTTAAAGTAGGCTATAATAACTAAGTATTATCTCGGTGATTTTTAAATTGTTGTGACCACTCTGACCTACATTAACACGTGCAGAGAAAAGGGCTTAACTGGTCAACACGTGTCTAGCCACTTCCGATTGTGATTTGACCTATGAAAATCTCCGGCGGATTAATTAATACGACAAAATCTTTGTTTACAGTAGGTGCCAAGTTACGATAAATAGACTATAGTTACTAGTTGTCTGTTCTTCTGTTCCTGCAGCGAGTAGAAATGTAATATAAATGCGTTGAATGCAGTAAGTAGTAGTTTTTATTATTGTTATATGTTCAGGCAATACGAAAAAGCATCATATACAAATATTTTTCTTTTTTATAGGAAGAAAAAATAAATTATTAACTTGTAATTAAATTTTATAATAAAATATTGAAGTTAATTACGAAAAAAACGTGAAAATTCTAATGATCAAGAAGTGATTACCGGTAGCAAAGCTAAAAAATCAACTAGCACTAGTAAATCATCAAAAATTGAGAGCTCTATTAGTGAAGAATTGACTATTTTTAACGTTGAGCAACAAACAAGCACTATTGAAACAAAAGAAACAGAAACAATAAGTTCTCGTAAAAATGTTGCATTAAAAAAAATGTAAAAACTCGCTTATATCAAGAAAATTACCTAAAAATGGGATTTACCTGCTGTGGTGATAAATTAATTCCCAGACCAAAATGTATTGTGT